AACTCAAAACCTCGCGCCTGCTGGAAAGGCACTGTGCTGCTGAGCTAAATCCCTAGCCCCTTGGCCCTTTTTTTTTAAGGTGGGTTTTGCTTTTGTTTTTGTTTTTGTTTTTTGAGACAAGGTCTTGCTCTGTAGTCCAGATTGGCCTTGAACTCACTATGTAGCCAAGGCTGGCCTCAAACTCACGGCAATCCTCCTGCCTCAGCCTCCCAAGTGCTGGGATTATAGGCATGTGCAACCACGCCCGGCTGTATTATTTTTAATCTTTATCCATTCATCAGTTGATGGACATTTGGGCTGTTTTCAAGATTTACCTATTACAAATTGAGCAGCTATAAACATGGGTGTGTATATATTCCTGTAGTATGATTTTAATTCTTTTGGGTGGATACCAAGAAGGGGAATCGCTGAGTCAAATAAAACCTCTAGTTTCAGGTTTTCAGGGAATCTCCACACTGATTTCCACAGTGGTTGCATTAATCTACACTCCCACAAACAGTGGAGCAGGGTTCCCTTTCCCCCACACGCCCTCCAGCATTTGTTATTGGTTGATTTCTGATAATAGCCAATTTTTTATGGGGTGAGATGGAATCTCACTGTTGTTTTAATTTGCATCTTTCGTGGCTAGTGATATTAAATGCTATTTCTATATTTATTTGCCTTTTCTACTTCATCATTTCAGATGCCCATTTTTAGATTGGGTCTTTAAATTTGGGAGGAAAAACTAACTAACTAACTAAATAAATAAATAAATAAATAAATTTGGGAGAGTCTTTTTTTTATTATTTAGTCTATATATTAGTCCTTTCTCCCAGGAACAGCTAGCAAAAATTTTTACCACTCTGGGGCTTGTTGCTTTACTCTGTTAGGGATTTCTTTCACTGTGCAAAAGCTCTTTCATAAGATGAGATCCCAGTTGTTAATCCCAGTTTGTAGTATTTCTGGTGCAATCAGGGTTCATTTCATAAAGTCTTTGCCTGTATCAATGTCTTCAAGAGTTCTACCTATTCTATCTTCAAACAGGTTTAGTGTTTCTGTTTTAAAATTTAGATTTTTGGGGGCTGGGGATTTAGCTGAGCAGCACAGCGCCTGCCTGGCAAGCACAATGTCGTGAGTTCGATTCCCGGTACCAGAAAAAAACAAACAAACAAACAAAAAATTTAGATTTTTGATTCATGTCAATTTTACTTTAGTGCATAATGAAAGATATGGGTCTAGTTTTAATCTTTGGCATTGGGAAAGCCAATTTTTCCATCATCATTTTTTTCAACACCATTTATTAAAGAGGCTATCTTTCTTCCAGTGAAGGTGTTTGGTTCCTTTGTGAAAAATAAGATAGCTGAGTGTATTTGGAGTTGTTTCCGCATCTTCTTATTTGTTCCATTGACCCTCAGTTCTGTTTTTTGTGTTTTTTTGCCAGTACCGTGGTGTTTTCATCACAATACCTTTGTAGTATAATTTCAACTCTGGGATTGTGATGCCCCTGCCTTGCCTTTGTCACCCAGGATCGCCTTTGCTATTCTAGGTCTCTTCTGGTTCCAAATGAGTTTTAGGATTGTTTTCTCTAATTCTGTGAGATATGCTTTTGGAATTTCGACTGGGGTTGCATTGAATCTGTATAACAATTTTGGAAGTATGTCCATTTTCACTATATTGGTTCTTTCCACCCAAGAGTATGGAATATCTTTCTAGTTTCTGATATCTTCTTCAATGTTCTTTTTTAGAGTACTGTAGCTTTTAATGTAGAGGTCTCTTACTTCCTTTTAGATTGATTCCTAGGTATTCATAGTTTTTTTTTGGATGCTATTGTGAAAGGTGTTGTTTCCCTAATTTCTCTCTCAGTGCATTTGTTGTTTGTGTACAAGAATGCTATTGATTGTGGAGTACTGACTTTGTATCCAGCTATGCTATTGAATCTGGTTAATAAATTTAGAAGTCTTTTGGTGGTGTTTTTGGGGTCTTCTATGTAGAGTACTATGTCACCCACAAATAATAAAAATTTAACTTCTTCCTTTCCTCTCCTATTCCTTTTATTTCTTTCTCTTGTCTCATTGCTCTGACTAATGTTTTCACAACTATATTAAATAAGAGTGGTGGACAGTGGACATCCTTGCCTTATTCTGATTTTAGAGTAAAAGCTTTCAGTTTTTGTCCATTTAGTATGATATTGACTATTGGTTTCTCATAGATGGTTTATATCAGATTGAGATAAAGACCTTCTGTTCTAATTTTCTGTAGGGTGTTGAGTGGGTATTGGATTTTTCAAACATTTTTCTGCTTCTACTGAGATGATATGTTTTTTTTCCCTTGACTCTGTTAATATGGTATATTACATTTATTGATTTGTGTGTATCAAACCATCCCTACATCCCTGTGATGACTCCTACTTGGATTCATGGCATATAATCTGCTTGATGGTTTGCTGTACTCTGTTTGCCAGGATCTTATTGAGGATTTTTGCATCTGTGTTCATTAGGGAAATTGGCCTGTAGTTCTCTTTTTTGGGTTGGGCCTTTCTCTGGTTTTGATATCAGGAAATGCTTGCTTCCAGGAATGAATTTGGGAGTACTACTTCCCTTTCAATTTCTTTTCTTTTCTTTTTTTTTTTTGTCTTTTTGAAACAGGGTCTCACTATGCAGTTCAGGCTGGCCTTGAGCTCACTTTGTAGCCCAGGTTGGTCTCAAACTCGGAATGATCTTCCCTTTCAATTTCATTAAAGAGTTTGGTGGCATCAGGTCTTCTCTAAATTTCTTGTAGAATTCAGCAGTAAGTCTGTTAGGGCCTGGGCTTTTCTTTGTTGGTAGGTTTTTATTTACATCTTCAATTTAATTGCATGATATTGATTTATTCAAAAATTTTATATCTTTTTGATTCAGGTTTGGTAATTCATATGTATCTAGGAATCTGTCCATTTCTTCTGTGTTTTCTATCTTATTAGAATACAGATTCGTGAAGTAGATATTGATGATCAACTAGGTTTCTGCAGGATCCATTGT